TCACTTAAGGTGCATAAGTTTTGAAGCTAAAATTACGTTAAAGAAAACATGTGAAGAAAGTTACTCTCACCTGCTTCATGCTTGATATATAAAGAGATTGTTTGATCAAGATAGTACTTGTTCATTTTTGTTGCATGTATAATTGTTCATTATAATAAGAACATTGATAATATTAAATATTTGAAGTGATTTATGTTTTTCTACTTTGCGAATATGGGAACATACGTTTGAAGGCAAAATTATGTTAAAGAAAAAAAAATGAAAACTACTCTTACTAGTTTCAATCTAGATATATAGAGATTGTTCAGTATGCGACTTTGTATTTAGTTTTGCCACGTATATAATTGTTTGTTACCATATGAAATATTAGTAAATATTAAATAAGAACATTGCAAAATTTAGCATTTACTTTTTCTTTTTTGATTTTAACAATTATTTGTATTTTAAGTTGCCATATAAGTACTTTGTATAAACAACTATTTATACATGGAGTAAGAGTAGGGAATGTAGAGATCGAGTTACTCCATAAATATTGAAACTTTTACTCGCCCATTGCCATCCTAATAATAACTGACACATCGTTGAAAATAGTAAGAAAACTATTGTAATGTTACCTACATATCCATCGTCGAAAATAGTAAGAAACTATGTGCACATGCAAGTGAGTATCTTAAATTCTTAAATTAGTCTTTAAATTATTTAGGACTTAACTTCATTCAAATAGACTATAACAATTATATTATGTTATATCAGTCTTTTCTTTAGGTTAAATACATCTTTTGCTTCCTAATAATATTTTTTTGTTTTAATTTAGTTCCATTTTAATTTTAGGTCTCAATTTGGTCCCCAATAATTTAAATCATTATAATTTGGAATTTCCGTCCAAATGATTTAAACGAGGTTAACTCCTGCAGAAGTGGATGTCAGGTGGATGTCACGTAGATGCATAGGTGGATGCCAAATGTCATGAATACACCTAGAACCAGAACGGTCTGTTCTGCATGCACATGTTATGTGTTAATTTTGTAACTGGAACGGACCGTTCCAAATGCAAATTTCACAACATGAGTGCAGCAGAACGGGCCGTTCTGAATCCATAACGGGTCGTTCTGCTGTTAGAACGGGCCGTTCTGAATTCAGAACGGCCCGTTCCAGAACGCCAACTTCATGCTTTTTATTGTATTTTTTATATATCTATATTAATAAAAATATAATAAATAAAAAATACAATAAATTAATATTCATTTATGAATAAAACTATAAAAAAAATCAAATAAGATAAGACCTTCCAAAATCTTTATTTGATTTGAACTTATCCAGTTCAAAATCTTGACTAAAATGTCGCAATGTGATTCAAAAATTAAAAATACAATTTTATAATATATCACAAATTCAAAGACAAAAACATGGTTCAGAAACTGAAAACAAAAATTTAGAACATAACATGTACTAAAAAAGTTCAAAGAAATTATTGAGAAAGGAAATCATCTGGGTAACGTTGAAGGGAAACCCTAAACCACAAAAATTCAGGTTGTACCTCCTCAAGAACAGGTTGTTATTTTTGGGTTACATCGTCAATGACTTCAAGGGAAAACACCATTTCGTTTCATCCTTGACTGTATAGTGTCAATTTGGTAGTAAGTGGTTCACTCTAGTTTGACTAACAATGAAATAAAACTTGTTACCATTGTCCTTAGTGATACATTGCATCGTCCTTAATGATACACTGTATAGCCCAAATGTTTAGCAATTGAAGTTATCAATCCCCATTAACGATATTACCAAATCTAGTGTATGAAATGCTTTGTATTTTTTTTTTGCACGAAATTCTGGAACCAGAACGACCCGTTCTGAAACCAGAACGACCCATTCTAGTTACACTGTTGGTGTGTAAATGTTGCATCTGGAACGACCCGTTCCATGTACAAAATTTACACACTAATAGTGTAACCAGAACGGGCCTTTCTGGTTTCAGAACGGGCCGTTCTGGTTCCAGGTGTATTCAAGTATTTTGGGATCCATCTACGTGGCATCCACCTGGCATCCATGTGGCCACCAGTTAACTCCGTTTAAATCATTTAGACGGAAGTCTCAAATTTCAATAATTTAAATTATTGGAGACCAAATTGAGACCTAAAATTAAAGTGGGACTAAATTGAAACAAAAAAATATTATAAGGGAGCAAAAGAGGTATTTAATTAAAAAATAAATGTAAATAATGTATAAAGTGTTTTATTTTAACATTTTAATGATCAACTAAAATTAATTTATCCCCGTATACACATATACAATCATTTATATTTAATAATGTGTAATTTCACTAAATATTTTTAAATTAATCCTAATAAATAATTTAAAATTATTTTTTAATTTAAAATAGGATAAAATATATTTTTATATCTAAAAAAAAATAAACTATTATTTCCAAAAGTAATAATTTTCTTTATATAATTAGTAAGTATAAATCTTTTTCATCTGTCAGCCTATTTTAAAGAATAGAATAATATTTCTAATTCTAACTCTATATGAAAATAAAGTATATCTGACAAGATATTTAAAGAGTTTATAAGTTCCTTTCCTTAACTTATAAGTTATTTCAATAAAAATAAGTTTATTTACTATGAAAATTTATTTTAGAAAGCTAATTGAAGTAGTTTATAATTTATAATTTTTTTTTATTTTTTATCATCATTAATCTTTTTAGCTCTTTCAAATTAGAAATCATTTTTTTACATGTTATTCTCTCATTCTCATTATTAAATAAATAAATATATTATTTTATATTGGCTAACTAATTTATCAACTAATTTTATCAGTTAACTTATGAACTTCCCGCCAACTTAAAAGTTAAATTTACTGAGAAAAAAAAGCACCCAAATTTGTATAAAATCTTTGATTCTCCTTCTAGTACTATATATAAGAAAAAATAACTAATTTTACACAAATTAAGAAAGTTTATTAAATATATTCAATTTTCATAATTTTACATAAAATGTATCTTACATTACTTAAAATGTTTTTAACCATATTTATGGTGGCCAATGTTCTCATTTATTATCATAAAGATAATTTTGAATTGAGAACATTAAATAAAGTTGTGATTAAAATTTATTTATATTTTATTAAAAAATTTAAATATTTTTTACTTTTATACAAATTTAGAAGGAGTATGTGTTTTTCTAGAGAAATTCTAAAGTATCTACATAAATTTGACAAGTTTTGAAATTGTCAATTTTTAAATTAATAATAATTAATTCTTTATTTAATTTTTTGTCATGTTATAATTTTGTACTTGTATCAAGTAGCTGGTTAAAAATATTGTGAGCATTTGAAATTGGTGAATAAATAAAATAGAAGGTAGACCTCTAACATTTTATTGAATCAAATTAGAATTATAAATATTTTTTCACTTTACGTTTCATAGGTCTTAGATTGTATTTTTACACTTCTATTGAATAACTAATATGTCATAAGAAAGAAAGTGATTCAAATGTGAAGAGAAATATCATATAAATATGAAACATGTAATTCAATATAATCGTAATAACACTTTTTTTTAATTTATTTATAGAAATTACTATGACAGTTACAAAACGAATCTAGTACTTACACTACAAGAAAATTACTATATAATGACATACACTCTATAGTGACACTACGTGTCCCTAAAAATTACTTTTATCTACACAATAAATATAATATATATTGATATATTGTTGAAAATGTGGGTATAAACTATATGATACATAAAATATATTGTTAAATCTCATTTAAAATTAACACTAAAATTATATGTAACTATCACTATTAGAAAAATATCATTTTCCTGCGAATTTTCCTACAAAAAACTATTTGCAAATTTTTTTTGCGAATTTTCTTGCAATAATAATTTCACAATTTTTTTTACGAATTTATTTGCAAAAACTAATTAATAGATATTTCTTACAAATTTTTTCATGAAAAATAATTTACAAGAAATTTTTGCAAATTTTGCTACAATTTTAATGATTATGGAAATTTTTTTCGTGGTAAAAATTTGTAGAAAATATTGTAAGAATTTTATTTTGTTTATTGCAGATTTTCTTGCAAAAATAAATTCGCAAGTAATGTTTACTAAATGGTAGAAAAATTTCGCAGGTAACATTTCATGTAGATTTTCCTGTCAATTTTAATTCGCAGGAAAAATAAAAAAAATATTTAAATTTATAAGTTTAATATTTAAAAAAAAATCAAGTCCTACATCGATTGAAAATAAAATAATTAAAGAGTATATAAGTTGGGGCAACACTTACCTTACAAGTTGATTTGTATGATTGAGTGTTAGACTTATAATCTACAATCTTAAAGTTTAAAAGATTATGTATCACATGTTGGAGGCGTGAAAACAAATGCTTCAAATGAATTCATTGTCCTGCAGAATTTCTAGCGAAAAAATTCGTAGGAAACTTTTCTGCAATTTTTTTTTGTAAAAATATGCAGGAAAATTTCTTGCGAATTTTAAAATATACAAAAATATTATCTACGAAAGTATTACCTGCGGATAAAATTTCGCAAAAAAATTCATAAAAATAATACTTCTACAAATTTTAATACAAAATTTACATATAATAAGATAAATTACAATAATATATATATTAAATAAATATATACTTATATATATATATTATATATAATAATATTTTTTTATATGTCATTATATATAAAATAATTTTATATGCATTTCTTAGTATTACTTAAAGCTAATAACTTTGGACCGTGATAAACTATTTTTATTGCTTTCGAAAAGAATTAATTGTACATAAATGTAATAGTAATAACTTTGGACTGTGATAAAGTATTTTTATTACTTTCGAAAAGAATTAATTGTACATAAATGTTCAAGGATATATATTAAAAACATGTTTGTGTTGGTATTCGACCTTGGGGAATGGTCGAATGAGTTGTGTCACTGTCACAAAATGTCCGAAAATTACTATTCCACTGCCACATTCTCACCAGTCATCAACCATCTTAAAAAGTCTTGAGTGACAGCCAAACCAAATCGATCTCACAGCAGAGAGAGACAAATAATAACAAGAGAGAGAAAGAGAATACAAAACCACACTATAAACAGAAACCAAGAACACTGTCACAAATGTAACCACACTTCAAATTCAACACATTTCTTCTTTTGCCTATTCTCCAAGTCCAAACTCCAACCCTGCATCATTTCACACCATCCTCTTAACTTCGTCCTCTTTTCCTTTCCCGTTACTTATTATTTAATAATAGAAAGTAGCATAGTAACTGTTTCTTGCTCGCTGGGTTTTCGTAATCTACATTCATTCAAGTTGCTAGCTTCTGCCAAATCCTCGTGCATTTAAGACCCTAAACTCTAAAAGCTGAGTGAAGGGTAGCAGAAAAAGTATATCTTTAAGGCTCTGCAAATTGGAGATTGTAATTATGAAACTTTACCTGAGTGAGTGGTAAAAAAAGCCGCAAGAACTGCCTCATAAGGTGGTGCCATTCTGTTGTTTTCCTCATCTCAGAAGGAAAAACGAGATAAGCCAGCTGCTTTGGAAGGAGTTACAAGGAACCTACACCTACCCTCATCTTGAACTCCCTTTTCAGTTATAAATTATCAATCCCTTTCATCTCAAACCAACATTGCCTGACTTTCATCTTGTCTTGTCTTCTTACATAATTTGGTATCTTTCAAACACCAGAAACTCTTTCTCTTGCAAGTTTGGTTTAGTTTAGTTCATAACTCTGTTTCTTTCTTTGTGCGTGTGTTTCAACAGATTGAAAAAAAAAATGCTACCCCAGAAGCAAGCTGAAGAAGCCATGATGTCAAGCCTCAGCCAAACCATTGAGCATGAGGAGGGAGAGGAAGTCAAAGGGGATACCTCACATTTTAGCTTGAAAAATATTCTCTGGCATGGTGGTTCTGCCTATGATGCTTGGTTCAGCTGTGCCTCAAATCAGGTAACAATATGAATCAAGAAACGTGGTACAATTTGTATATAACCAATTTTTTTAAGCATTTGGTCAGGTGTGTATGTGTATGAAATATCATATAAGTTAATCTTTTAAGTAAGTTAGATATGAGATGAGATTTGTACACCATTTTGGTTTCTTCTGAAGCAGGGGAAAGTAAAAATAAGTTTTTTCCTTTTTATTTTATTTATTGTGGTTTTTGTGATGTGCAGGTTGCTCAGGTTCTGTTGACTCTGCCTTACTCATTCTCTCAGCTGGGAATGGTTTCAGGAATCATATTCCAAGTCTTCTATGGCTTGCTTGGGAGTTATACTGCTTATTTAATTAGCATTCTGTACATTGAGTACAGGAGCCGGAAAGAGAAAGAGAATGTCAGCTTCAAAAACCATGTCATTCAGGTTAGACATCCTAGACAACAATTGAAACACTTCTTTTTTCTTTTTTATTTTTAATTTCACTTTTCACCCTTTTACATATAGCGCCATTCTGTTTTTACTCTGAATAATTTCATTTCAATTTTCGCAGTGGTTTGAAGTGCTGGAAGGCTTGCTGGGTCCATACTGGAAAGCTATTGGATTGGCCTTCAATTGCACTTTTCTCCTCTTTGGATCTGTCATCCAGCTTATAGCTTGTGCAAGGTCTCAATTTTCCTCTTAATTACAACCTGCATTAATATTTGATTAAATAATTGAAAGAGTAGGTGTGTTAATTGTTTACTTAATTGCTTTGCTTTATGCACTGTGCAGTAACATATACTATATAAATGACCACTTGGACAAGAGGACTTGGACCTACATTTTTGGGGCATGTTGTGCTACAACAGTGTTCATTCCATCATTCCACAACTACAGGATCTGGTCCTTCCTTGGCCTTGGCATGACCACCTACACTGCTTGGTATTTGACCATCGCAGCCCTTGTTCATGGCCAGGTAAGGAAACCAACAGCAACATTGTTTATTGTTTTCGGTTTAATATCCTTTTGATTAGAATAGTTTCATAAAGTTTATCTTTTAATTTTTATAATTAAAAACATTTCATTTTTGTTCTTATATATACTATTTTTGGTTCCTAAATAAAAAATTGTTTGTATAGGAAGTTAGGAACTAAAAAAAATATTTTAATTATAAGAACTAAGATGAAGTTATAAGATTTAAAAAGGATAATTAAACCTTGTTTTTTCTTTGGTGGGGTTTCTCCTTTGAAAATGTTTCCACTAAATTTGGTTTTGTTTAATAGGTTGAAAATGTGACGCATTCGGCCCCAAACAAGATGGTTTTATATTTCACAGGCGCAACCAACATACTCTACACTTTCGGCGGGCACGCCGTCACAGTGTATGCACTTTTTAATATTTTTGCTTATTGAGTTGGACAAAACAATCATGATATTGTTCTTTATTGTTAGGACACACATAGAAAATATAATTATAATTGGAGAATTTCACTGCACGGTCCCTTTCTTCAATTGCAGCTTTATCCTGCACTCTAATGACTCTTGGAAATAAGACAAACACTATATCTGCCTCTTTGGAATAACCATTACCATCGTGTCTTGGCTTTGGGTTATACTCTGTCATTAGCAATAAAAAATTTCAAAGCCCAGTTGAAACTTTTTTCTATTAGTGTGAAGCTCCGATTTTGCTTTTCCCCTCCTAAGAACTTGTCTATATGATAAACTTTCACTATATGTAAAAGAACAAGGAAGCAACATTTTACCCCATGGTACGTCCTAGTTATTTATTCGACTAAAGTGAAAGGTGCTAGAGACACAAAAGTTCCAACATAAATACACACATTAATTATGTTTGTTCGTCTTTCCAGCATTATCCACCAGGACTTGTTTGATAGTCCAACCAACTAGATAAATCAAGCCAAAAAGTGTGTCTCTACTGTTTGTTTTATAATTTACAGTTCTTGATCTAATTTGGAAATTCTCAAATGCGCAGCTTCTTTTTCCTTTTAGTATAATTCATTTTCAATAAAAATTGTATATTGACTAGCAAAATAGGGTACAAAGTCAGAGCCCAAAACAGTTCTATTACACTTGGACACGTCACAAAACTTACAAGGAATCCTGATTTTGACAGTGGCATTTCTATGGTTCATTTGTAGATTTTACAGAAAACACTAATATGGAGCATGTGATATGACTGACTATTGCAGGGAAATCATGCATGCAATGTGGAAGCCCCAGAAGTTCAAATATATATACTTTTATGCAACAATTTATGTGTTCACCCTCACTCTACCATCTGCTATTTCCGTTTACTGGGCCTTTGGTGACCAACTTTTGGATCACTCCAATGCCTTCTCTCTCCTCCCTCGCTCTGGTTGGCGTGACACTGGTGTCATCCTTATGCTTATTCACCAGGTCCATATATGCATTAATGTATTAAATAAATAACATATAAGTAAACTTTCTATACACATAATTGACATGTATAATAATTTTGTTGACTGTAAGAGTCGTATTAATCATTGCTGTGTAGATTTAGGTTGTTTGTTACTAACTGATATTTTTTGCGTATTGCTATGTAACTGATCACAGTTCATCACATTTGGGTTTGCTTGTACGCCACTGTATTTCGTGTGGGAGAAAGTGATAGGAATGCATGACACAAAGAGCATATGTTTGAGGGCACTAGCCAGGTTACCTGTGGTGATACCAATATGGTTTTTGGCTATTATTTTCCCTTTCTTTGGCCCAATTAATTCTGCTGTGGGGGCCCTATTGGTCAGTTTCACCGTTTACATCATCCCTGCTTCAGCCCATATGCTCACCTACAGATCTGCCTCTGCAAGACAGGTATATATATATATATATATATATGTGCTCCATTCTCTCCACATCTTATCTTATCTTAGGGCCTCTATGTCATCTTAGAATTTGTTTGAATAAATTTTTTCTAAAGTATTTTCGAAGAAAAATAAGAGGAAAAAAAAAAAAAAACTTCTCCCATAAACTAAGTTTATTTTATAAATAAGCTAATTTATATTATGAAAAAGCTGATTTGATTTTTTCTTCTTAACTTTTCCTCATTGAAGCTCTTTTGGACAAGTTCACTAAGTCCTTAATATCTTTGTTTCAGTTTTCTACCTTACGTGTCTCATTTAACTGCCATGTTTCATAACATATGCTGATACACTCAAACATTAAAGGCATTCTTATCGTGGTGTCCAATTGCTAATAATGTTACTCTCCCTATCTAACGTTTAGTATCATAGGTTGTTAAGATTGCATCATAGTACCTGAAATTTTGTTTTTGTTTTCTTCTATACCTAAAAGCTAAATTGAATCATTTAAAAGCAAACAATGAACAGGACTGCATTTCCTATCCCGGACTGTCCATTTTTCGTGATCACATCTATCTAAGCATCCAAGGAAATCCTTGAAACCTGATCTTGTGGTTGGGTGTGCATGTTTAAGGATATGATTCCAGCTTAATTTGTGATTTAACTGGAAGTGACTTCTTATCTCCCAGGTAGTGTTAAGTCCTAGTGCCACTAGTTACAGTATTTAGGATTTGAAAATTTATGAAACGAAAGAAGTTGGTGGCGTTTCTTTGTCAATTGTCATTTAGTTACTATACTACCGCTGGTACTATTCTAACCACATGTAAACAATGAGATGGGCCAGGACCAACCAGCCCAACCTAACACTCTTAAGTGATCCTACACGTTACTCCCCTTACTAGTCCTACTATTCCTAACATATCTGTTTACTGTTCATGGTGAATTCTAATAAATTGTGACATGTACACTTGAAAACATAAGATAACATTTTGAAGTTGAATTTCTAACTTTGGTATTTTGAACAGAATGCAGCGGAGAAATTACCCTTCTTTATTCCAAACTGGACGGTGATGTATGTGGTGAATGCATTTGTGGTGGTGTGGGTTCTGGTGGTGGGCTTTGGATTTGGAGGGTGGGCCAGCATGACAAATTTCATCAAACAGGTTGACACATTCGGACTATTTGCCAAGTGCTACCAGTGCCCCCAAAAAGTCCTTCCCTCCAATCACACCTTGCATCACTGAAAAGTGAAAACTATGTATGTAGGGTGCTCTAGTATCCTAGTTTAATCTCCTTATAAACACATATTGTGAATGCCGATGTTCCCTTCTGTAGCAAGGCAATACTGTTTTTGGAGATGTAGTATCCATACAACAATTTCTTATATAATGCTTTCTATAACTCTACTTTTTTTATATTATTAATCATCATATTATTCATCTTATTTCTCAATTTTCTTTCTTCACTCGTGTCTCTCTTATAATCATAAATAATTTAGTGTATAAAAATCATTTCTCCTGCTTTTATAATCAATTTAATTTTTACTTATATATAAATGAGGTGGGATGAGTATGATAGTATTTATACTTATATAAGATATTTTTATATTAAGTTTAATAAAGACTCTCTTTGGATAATTAATCAATTAATTAATTGAGTGTGGAGGCCTAATTCTTTAGGATGAGGCCTTTTACCATTTTTTGTGGAGGCATTTAATTATTTTTGAAGGTGGTATCGGACATTCCAAAGATTGAGGCCTAAGGCACTTGTCTTCTTAATGAGCTTGCATGCAACACGGCCCTGGAGCTGGCTGCTATCATTTTTCGCCTATATATATATGTTCATCATTATTATGGCTAACATTAGGCCGTAGCATTCTGCATGATTTTGAGAGTGGAACGTGCTACATTCTAATTACGCATGCTATATCTACTTTCATCAAAATTAAAAATACTATTTCTGTGACAAGCAAAAGTCAAAATAGGTCAAGGGATAGTGCCATAGTGGGGAAATTAATTTTGTAAATGGAAACTCTTTGCTCCACGTTTAATGGAGTTCATTCATCAGTTGTACTTTACACTTACAGAGTCCATTTAAGTAAAATTTGCACAAGGACGAAATTTCGTTAAACTCCCTGATTGAAGGGAGTTCACATTCATTTGTAATATGATGAATTCTTAAATGTCTCATCGACATATTTCTATATATACAAGTTTGTGGAAATATTATTTTATTGTCTAATTGTGATAGTTAAAAAAAAAATCCACCTCCTTCCCCTTTCCTTGGAATCTTACCGATGTATCAAATATTTTAATTACACTTGTATTGAATAAAGCCAAATAGCTACTTATTATGTTTTAGATGAGGCTAGCGGTGACCTTATGCACAAAATGATGGAGTGATCACCTAAGGTTCTATGTTCGTCAAGGGACAAAAAAAATGTTATTTAATTTACATAATATAAAAAAAATGTAAATAATTAAATTACATAAAAATGTATTTGAAAAAAGTAAATTAATTATGAATAATTTAATCAAACAAAAAATTAATTGTGAATAATTAATCAATAATTATTTTTCTCACCTATCAACAAGAATCCACCCATAAATTTTAGAATATAAATAAATAATATTAAATGTGATGTGAGATATACTATTGAAATTTTTTTTCTCTTGATCAGAAATTTCAAAAATGTTAATGTAAAATTATAAATAAGAGTTTTTTTTAAACTTTTTTTTCCCTTTATCTTTTATTTATTTATTTATTTTCTTCTTTTTTTGAATCATGAAATATTTATTTCGCTGAAATCTCAAAATCAAATCGTGAATTTCTTTCACTAGCAAGTTTTTTTGAAAAATTTCATTTATTTTGATGTAGATGACAGGTAGACTTATATTTATTAGTTTCAATAAGACTCCTTACGAGTATTGTTTCTATCTACTATTATCTAAAAATAATCAAGTTATTAATAATTAGACGAAATCAAAAAATAATTCTGCAAATATAGAAGGTCCACCTCTCAATTATGAGGTTCTCTATGATATCAATGTATAATGATCTTTAAAGATAAATAATCATTTATTAAACAATAACTAAATAAATATTTAATTTATTCATAATATAATAATTGAGAAATTATTTGACTATCAAATCCAAGAACAATTATATTATTATAATATCAATTAAATAAACAACAAAAATAATTAATTATATTAATAATAATAATAATAACAACAACAACATATCCTCTTAAATTTTATTAGGAAGTTTGGAGTAAAGTATACTTCGTATCACATGGATATTGGCTAGCATACAATATCATGAACTCAAAGTGGTATTGCCATGACAAAAAAAGCTTCACTGAAACAGTGGAATTTAGTTGTTTACTTAGTTAAATTTAGTAAAACGACATATCCATTAATTTTTTATCAATGTTAAATTGAATTAATTCATCCAATTTCATAAAATAGATTAAGTTCATAGAAAAAATATATATAAGAAAATTAATTGATATTATATTGTTTCACTTTATTTGCACACGTGATATTTTATTTAAATTTGAAGTAAATAGTTACTATCTGATTATGTATCTATAAATGATTATATTATGTGAATTTTTATATACAAATAGTTATCCCAATAATATAACAGTTTAAATTAAATTGATTTAAATTTATTTATGAAAAAAGGTTATTAAAAATTTATTTTATTAAGTTTAACACCTGATTTTATTTTATCTAACTCATATGTGTTGTCCCCGCGTTTAATTTATTAGTACTAAGAATAAATTTATTGAGTATAAAGAGTTTTAAAATTTTCATAATTTGTCTTCTTCCTTTGGAGATTTTGAGCCATCAAAAACTATTTTCAATGATCTACTTTTAGTTAAGAAATCCAATTAAGAAAAATTTAATTTAGAGACCCCTTTGAAATTTTTAAATAAGAACCAATCCTGTAATTTAACTAATAAATAAAAATGAAGATTTAATGAGCTGATATCCTCTTTTGTTTTGGGAAGTCTCATTGCTGGACCTAATCACCTAAACATGGGTCGAAAACCGAGTATCATTACTTTTGGGCTTTAAATAAAAAAGAAACTCCCAAAATGGCAAAATCCATATGGACCACTAAGCACTACATTATACAAATTTTCATACTCTAGGTTCCTCACTAGTAAACATCAATCATGCAGCGTGGCCTATATAAGTTCATATTTATTACGGAGTATTTTTTTTATTCATAAAAATAGTAGATAGAGAATGATACTTTATAAAATTATATATGATAGAGAGTTAATAATATGTTAAAAGTTTTTAGATTAAATATTATTATTTATTTAATGATTAGTTGAAACTCAATAATGTAACAATCCGGCTGGTCACTACACACGGCATAGCACACTAGAAACACCAGACAGATAGAACAAGTATATAAATATAGGATCTAGAATATATAAATATACAAAGTTCCAGTCTGACTAGAGTTAAAGTGTACCAAAGAAGTTTACGACCAAATGCTACCATCCCAAGTAGCCACAAGCAAAACAACCACACAAGCAAAACAGCTGCAAGGTCCGCCGGAGACTCACCACAATCCGCCCACCTATTCCTGCCCTGCTCCCACACATGGTATGATCATCGCAGTCCCAAAGCATGGAAAACAACAAAAGTGTAAGCTAGTGAAATTAAAATTCAACAAACAATTATATGAATATCAATATGAATAACCACAGATACAATTATCACACACTTGTACAGCTTACATCACTCAACATTTTCAGCACCGCAATACGGCAATATCAGCACTGTTAAGCAGCAACAACAGCACCCCCCAAGTGGCTATAACGGCCCCGCGCAGCGGCAACAACAGCACCGCTTTAGCGGTTTGAATCAGCACCACAAATGTGGCTAACCCCAGCACCGACTTAGCGGCTATAATATCACCCAAACTCAGCACAGCACAGCACAGCACAGCACAGCACGGGATAACACAGCACGACAATTCAACAACTATTATTATTTTCTACAATTCAGCTCAATAGTCTATAATTCCGCTATACTATAAAATTTCTCTTATTAATCCATTGATTTCAGCTCAACAATACACCTCTAATACAGCTAACATATTTATCTCAGCTTTATCCCCTAGTCATCACAGCATATTCATCAAATTCAACTTAGTTCAGCGTATAACATCATTGATTAACAATTTCGGCACAACTCAACAGCCAACATCATATAGATCGTCATCTCCTTGCGCGCCCGGTGCACTCGAGGTTGCGCCCAGCGCGGCTCAACCCGAGAGCACCAAGGCTCTCCCGCGCCTGGCGCAATTCCCAATTGCGCCCAGCGCCTGCCTGGCAGAGACTCAAGGAATCTCGTGCGCTCAGCGGGGCCTAACCCGCGCCCAGCGTGGGGAAGGCAGAGACCTACCAAGGTCTCGCGCCCAGCGCAATTCGCAATTGCGCCCGGCGTGCTCTTGGCAGAGACTCCCAAGGAGCCTCCGCGCCCAGCGAGTTCAAGGTGCGCCTAGCGCGACCCAAGTATCCCAAACAAAAACATGTTACTCTTGATATCACGCCCAGCGCAGCTCGAGTCACGCCCGGCGCGGGCCAACCAAAGACTCCCATTTACAAGCTCGCCCAGCGCACACAGCCTTGCGCCCGGCGGGCTTGCCTAAACAGAGTCTCCTGGTGGTCGCGCGCCCGGCGCGAAGAACAACGCCCAGCGCGAAGAACAACGCCCAGCGCGAACTCATCAGTAACTCTCCCAAGTTCGAAAAATTCCCAAAACCTGCAAAATTTCACAGCAAACTCACATGCAAACGGTTCAAAATGCCACATTTTCATCAAGGAGCTCGAAAGTTCCAGCTTTATACGCATGCAACAACAGATCAAAGAAATCCCAAATTTTTACTCCAAACCATAAAACCCCAAAACCCCAATTTTTCCAGCAACCCAGCCAAAACACAATCAATCACCAGCAGCCAGATGAGTTCCTACACCCATTTTCCAGTCAAAAACGCAGGCAAAATACTAACTTCCCTTACCTCAATTTTGAAGAAAAATCCGAGTTTCGGGTCTGTGGAGATTGGAGAAGAAGAGAAACTTGAATGAAGAAAGGAGGAAATCTTCAGCTAGCCCTTTCCTAAGCTTGATCAGCACCTTCAGCTACCAAGTATCACCACAAGCAAGAGGAAGAAAAGGAGAAGTGAGAGTCTTGAGAGGGGAAGAGAGAATTTTTTTTTTTTTCTAGTGAGAGTTGGGAGGGGAAGTGTGTATATACCAGCCACGGGTCTCCCAAATAATACTTAATAATTCAAAATTTTACTTATCGAATTAAAGTACTAAAGAAATTTTATCTATGATGTTAAGAATATTTTTAAATAAATTTATTCATTAAGAAATGATTTTAATGACGGAAATATTAGACTTGCATTTAAAAA